TAAGTTGCTCACATATCGATCTAACAAAAGAAAAGAATACTTATATATATAAATATATAAATATAGAATAGAGAATTAACCTCGATATATCTCGATACGTATAATGAGAAAAGTTGAATAAGTACTGCCGAATCGGGACGATCCGAAAAGCCCCGACAGTTTTTTTCTTCTCTTTTTTCTTTTCTCGCTTTAACCTACAGGGGTCAAGCTTCCAGAAAACAAATTCAATACTTAAAATGGTTTAGCGCATATTGGATAATGCTTAGACTACTTTACTTTATCGATACCCGTGCGACATTGTACGCGCATGTACGTATGCTACTTTGGTACCCGTGTAGCTGTAGCCCTATTAAAATGCGGTTTTATTGGACCTTTCTGGAAATGAACAAGGGTTGAGAGAGAAAAAAACAAGTAAGAAGAAAAGGGGAGAAGAATTATTTAATATAATATTTCTTCTTACGTAGAAGTTTTTTCTTTTATTTCTCATTTTAACGCCGGTATACAGAGACGCGACTAGACTGTAAGGGTTGCTGCATTTCTGCCTGGATTACCTATATGTATACGTACAGGTACGTAAGTAGGTAGCTTCGTGCTGTGTTTTTGTTTCTTTAGAGATAGATTAGGTACATGGTACCTACCGAGGTACCCACGGCAACGTTTACCTTTACCTGCGCGTTGTGGCCCCTGCTCCCGTTCCTTACCATCTTTACAGTGTGCTCTTACCAACCTTTACCAACCTTACCAACCTTACCAACCACAATGCGCATGCACCATTTTACCTGCCCACCGCCAAATTTATATCAAATGTACCAAGACGTAGGTATCTAAGTACTCAAGTACTATGGTACACCTCCCTCGACAAGCTTACCTAAAATAACCATCGATTTGGTCATTTCATCACTTCCATTATTTTTCCTTCCCTCGCCGTCACACATCCTTTTTTCTAAATTCCTTCGTCAACCTTTTTTACTCCGAGCCGGCCGTCTAGATATTAATCACCATAAGTAGCGGCGCTCTTGTTCCTCTTACGTTGTCAACCGTTAAACTTGGAAGAGCCCGAATAATTCCTCGAGGTACGTTAGGATCACAAGCTGCCCCATTCCCTCCCGCCTTAGTCGCCTAGCTCCGGATCTACCACGCGCTTTCTTTTGTTGCAGAGATAATATAGGCCGTTCGGTTTGCACGATGTGCTCCCGTAGTTGCTATACAATCTGATCACTTCCTCATGTCTTTCCCACGCGTCGCATTCAAGGGGCGGTTTGCCTTGACCGATCTATTGTCTGAGCTCGAGGTATCTTGCACCACGGAAGTCTTCGGTGCTACATAGCTCTGTCGACAAGGTCCAAGTCAACAAACATCATTTTGCATCCCGCATGTGTTACGAACGCTACCAAGCTGTTCTTAGTCTATAACATGCATACCTCTCCAGAGTGCTGACTCGATTAGGCTTGTTCAGGATTGCGGACCTTTCGCCCCATACTGCCTTAATAAACGCGAAATCGTGACTGGAATACCACCTCACTCGATTGTTTTTCCATCACGCCCTCCCGAATTCAGCTCCACGGCATACGCCCGCGATACTACCCCACCTTCGTCATCTTTCCTAATGATCAAAAGAGGAACATTTCTCTAGAGATTGTTACTTGTGCTGCTGTGCAGACTCTCCTTGAGATCCGATAGAAAAATTTAGGCGCATCGAGTTGTCTGGCCGGAAATAGTCTGGCTGAAACTGTGCGCAGCTTCTATCAAAGCAAACCGTCCACGTACCGCGGAAGTGTTAGATTGGACTCGTCAAGGTCAAGGCTGACGCGTATCAAGTCCAACTACCCGGGACCCTCTCACCATTGGCAACAAAGGCGATAATCTGTGTCTTATTGACTTGTACAGACTAAGATACTTGGATTATACGACGCCTTTATATCGAGTTTGGTGTATTTGTACTTGGAATTCACTTGAAACTGCCTAAAGAAGGAATAATCCTACCCTTCTATAGCGCGCGCAGCATAGTGAAGAGGTGATAATCCTATCGAGATTCGAGTTTGGGAAGCGTTATTCGGTTAATTTGGATTTTTGTTTTGGCCACGCCATGTCGAAATCGCCGTCATCAGAAGTGATGAATATCACAAATATGCTGGACAAGAAGAACGCGGCGGCAGCTGCTGCCGCAGCAGCAGCAGCGTCAGGTCGCTCGCCAGAACACCAACTTCTTCCCCATCCGCAGCTGACTCCGATCGGCATGGATCGTGCGAATTCACCGCACGGATCTGAGAGCTCCTACCACTCAGGCCCCCGCCCTGGCCAACAATTAGATGCCCTGAATGGGATGAGTAACGGTCGGCCCTATGGTTCCCCCACTGCAATGCATGCAACGATGGCCTTGTCCGACCCTAGTATGCCTCCTACTATGATGATTCCTGGCATGCCGCAGCTCTCCCACGCACTCTCTATGCCCTACAACAAACCTCCTGAGCAGTCCCAGCAGCCACAACCTCAACACAAGGCGTATCCATGCAGCACATGTCAAAAAGCCTTCGCGCGGCGCAGTGATCTAGCTAGGCACGGTAAGTCGTCCTATTATTAAGTAGATGAAAATGGTCGGTTCTAATATGTCTTAGAACGTATCCATAGTGGTATTCGTCCGCATGTTTGTGACTATGAAGGATGCGGAAAACAGTTTATTCAACGATCAGCTCTGACGGTGCACCAACGGGTTCATACCGGAGAGAAACCCCACATGTGTGAACGATGTGGCAAGGTATTAATTATCCCTATTTTCACGCAGAAGACATACTAACTCGAAATCTTCAGCCATTTAGCGACAGCAGCTCATTGGCCCGACACAGGCGTATTCACTCGGGTAAACGGCCGTATAAGTGCCCGTATGCTAACTGTCAAAAGACGTTCACTCGAAGAACTACGTTGACTCGGCACCAAAATTCTCATTCTGGTACAGTTGAAGAGGCGGCGGCAGCTACAGCTAATGCTCTAGCAGCACAGGCTAGCAGGAACGCAGCTCGCGTGGCTCGTAGTGATGGTGAGCCTGGATCAAACCATGGTTCACCACTGAATACACCCTCACCAGGCCAGAGACATATGTCTATCTCGCCTAGTGCCGAGCTCGCTGCTGCCAATGCGATGCGCAACAGCGACTATTCGTATGTGGGCAATGGTTCACTTCCGGTGCATATTCGTACCGATATGCAGTCCCAGAGTCCTACTTCGGCCCCGGGCTACCCAACAGGCATGCGACCTACTTCTCACCCAACGGTGTATCCGCCACCCCCTACTCTAGAGCCAAGTATAGAATCGCACCAGTCAGGTACTGGTAGTACAGGTGGAAGCCCTCATATGGGTAGTGTCGGGTGGCAATCGCCTTCGCACATGGCTTCACCCACCCACAGCAACAGTGGTAACAGCTACGTATATCCCGATCCAGATCAGCCATTTCTGGGCAGCAACAACTTGGGCCAGATGTATTACAACTCGGGTGCTCAAATTCGACGACCAACAAGCACGGAGCCCAGTTCAGCAGGATATGACGTTAAGCCACGTCCTAACGAGCTGTGGGCTGGTCAGTAGGATGACTTCCAAAGCGGTGTAGGATGGCGTTACGATGAGATCACGTACGCCTACAGATATGATCTTGCATAGATCTCCTTTGTTTCTTGCATCTTCCCTTTGTGTTATGGACGGCTCAATACCCAACGGCACGGCAGGTTTGATTATTCGCGACATGCGTTTGAGATGGCAAGTGGCGTTTGTCTCTTTTCTTTTGTCTTGTTTTCAGGCTTCAGATCAGGAATCCTACTACGAGGCAGTCTCGACTCAGTCTAGATACGTACGCCCTCGCATTAATCGGCCGAGGCATAGACCGCCGGTGCCACTAGTGGAACTTAATAATATCACGGGCCGATACTTGCATCTCACTTGATAGATTCAACTGAGATGGGGATGGTTTGTTGGAACTTTGCTTCTTCTTGTCGATTCGAAATAGACTGGTCGGCCTGGCGGTCTTCACGATACTACGCATAAATCGGCATAGGTGGAAAGGAAGGAAGTTAGGGATAAGGATCGGAAAAGATTTGGTCAAGGGACTCTGGAGTATTTGTTTGCTCTTGTAGTGGGTGGTAAATATGTAAAGAAAGACAGGAATCTGCTTGGTGCGATGGATTTCGTTTTAGAAAAGCACAAACGTACAGTGCGATGGTATGTCGATAAAAAGACTAGTCGCCGATATTGAGCATCAAGAATGAAAAGAAGATTTCGGCAGCGCTTTGAATAGAGAGCACAAGCTTCTTTTAATGCATGCTTGGTAGTTTACCTCATGGGGTGTACTACATCGCTTGTTGATAATTGTGGTCGAGGCTGTACGTACTACACACATAGTCAATTGATGGGATATATCAAGTCGTAGTTAATGGAATTATACTCGAATTATATTTAAAGTTGCCCATTGTGGAAAACATTTATTTTTTGTAAGCTCATCATTTCCGTAGTCAATATAGCTTAGGTAGCTAAGGTAGTATTATACCACCCCACACCAATAGATACAGGTATATCCACAGACATTTTCGTATACATACCTAGGTTAGGTAGAGACAAGACAACATTCTGCATGCAGGATGTTGTACTAATCGGTGCCGTCTTTATCAGGTTCCTAGCACGGGATGCGCACGTTAAATCCCGGCGCGCGGGTAGGGTGGATGCGCGACTAGGTTTTTTTTGAGGATCAAACACCATGTCTTCTTCTCTCTGTGGTATACTACTCTGCAAACGACAAACGTCGATCCTCGGGCCGTTTTAACCTCTGCTGGGCGTAGATTCCTTGGCGGCGCAGTAAGGAAATACATAAAATCAAAAAAGGAAGCATTCGTCGTTCTCGTACGATTGTGACGAAATTAGCACCGCCAGCTAAGGCGGCGATGGCGTGGCGGGATCCGAGGGTCTAGCGCCCGGGGAAGTTTTTGGCGATTTTTTGATTTGTGATCATATGTAGGTATGTACGGGGTAGCTGCATAATACCTATGTACCTATGACCTATGTAATCCCTCCCCCCTTTTTTCCTTTTCTTTCTGTTTCCTCGGCGCGGCTACCAGCGCATCGTACTTGGAACTAGTTACAGCTCAGCTCTTGCTATACTCTGCATCGTATTTATTGATTATGTGATCTTTGGACTCCTACGAGCAAAAAAGAAATTGCTGAACCGATGCTGCTTAATGCAGGAGTACATTGCGTCTTGTCTCTTTCATGCATGCTGGACACGGCATTTTTGGTGTTAGAGTTTTGTACGGGCTGACGGCGTGGGACTAACTTGACTGATTATTTATTCATGTCTTGCGGTGTCGATTATTCCGCCAGAATGGAAATCCCCAAGGATGTGGTGAAGTCGTTGATTGGGCTTCTGCCCCTATTACAACTTTCTTACAACTCTCTTATTTTTCTTAAGCCGAGACCTCGGATATTCAAAATTCAAGCCCCTTGCTCCTTTCCGACGGTAATCCGAAGAGGGATATCACTTGCAAAAAAAATAAAAATAAAAATAAAAAATAAAAATAAAAATACCTAAAATAAAGGAACTAAGGGCCTCTTTACAACTCTTCTAGGAGTTCTGCCCTTAGTCTCAAGGATTAACGTCGCCTAAATCCTTGAAGCATGGCGAGGATACGGGACTTGCTGTTGCCTGTCGACGACAAGGACACTGAAGAGGTGGTAGTGAAAAAGGAGGATGAAACCACCAGGAAGGCCGATATTATACCCCCCGAGACGACGAGGTTTTTTGTGGAATTTATCTTGGATGTGATCTGTCCATACTGCTACATCGGGTTCAAAAATCTAAAGACCGCTATCGAGACCTATAGAGCCCGTCATCTGGAGGCAATTTTTGAGATAGTCTGTACTCCGTTTCTGCTTCATCCTCTAGCAGCTCGAAGTGGTAAGTCTTACATTCAACTTTCCAAGTCTCGAACATGGACGAAAGCATGAGACTATAATACACTCCGATCTTGATTGGCGGCTGTATACAGCACGTCTGATCCTCTACATATCATGTAACGACTCGACAGATGCTAGATGGAAGGAAGATAGACATATTCGTTTAACCCCAAACCAGGACACACACATAGGGAATCCCATGATCACTAACAGATTGACTAGTCAGCTAGCTAACCTGGCATTACCATAGCATACGATAAATCCGACTACCTAATCGCACGTACCCGAGGCCCCGCGTATTGGGTCGGCCCCGGACAGGCAGCTGGCATAAACTTCACCTGGGCCGGGCGCACGGGAAGCACCCGGAACGCGCACAAGCTTCTCCGGTTCGCACTAGAAAGCACGCCCACAACGACGCGCGGAGCACGTAATAGACGGGGGGCGTCAGCTCCGCCATTGTCACACACCAGCACTCGCTCGCCGTCATCGCCGTCCGCCACGAACGGCAACGCTCCAGCCCGGGGCCCAGCCCTCCAACTGCGCCTCCTGGAAGCGCTCTTCCGGGCACACCACGAGTCCGACGGGGATATATCAGACCCGTCGTTTCTGGCCGAGACCGCGTCCGCCGCGACGGGGTTCACGAGCGCCCAGATCCGCGCCGTTCTCGAGGACGCGAGCGAGGTGTGGGGCCGCGCGGTGAGTGCTTTGGTCGCGGAGGTGTCGTCCCCGCGGGGGCTCGCGGTGCGTGCCGTGCCTACGTTTGTGGTCAACGACCATTACGTGATTGGCGGGGTGCAGAGCGCGGAGTTTCTGGTTGATGAGTTTGAGAGGATACGGAGGGGTAGAGGAGGGTATGGTGTGGGGGGTTGATGGAGGAGGGAACTTTCATGGGGTAGTCGAGTCGTCTTGAAAGGGGCTGGTTATTTTTACTAGTTCCTAGAGCTTGTCTTCTCTCTCCTATTAGTTCTACCCTCGAGTTAAGGGGAGTGCGAGCCCGCCTGACCTGGAAGTTCAACAGGTCGAAAATAGCTATAATTGGAAGTTTGTGAATATTTAGCAAAAGGAGATATATCTAGCCACGGCTTTAAAAAAGAGGAAGGTAGCTACCGGTTATTCAGTATTGTTAAATACCTAAGAGCAGTGCAATTGTTTGGATCTTCTTATATTTTTAGCCTTGGTGAATATAGTTGAAGTGTATGGATATTATGGAGTCTATTTATGTCTGTAATATCTCCTCATGCAACATAACTAGTTGTTATTAGTATACTGTAGTTGTTTAAAAATATTTTAAAAGGTCTAGGCTTTTCTTGGCATACGGATGGGTAAGAAGACCTTGGAGACTCTACGATATGTGCACAAACTGGGTAGCTATAGACTATTTGCGTTATAATAGCCTAACCTAGTCAACTTCTCCGCAGCCTCATGCAGTCAACTACCGGTACATGATGCCGGCTGGACACCCGAAAGTCCCACTATGGGGAAGGATGATGGGTTATTCGCGGATACTACACATATCAGCTCAAGGGTCAAGGTTAAAGGCTAAAATGAAAAACAAATTACTAGATATCAGAAATAGAACTTTACTACAGTGCCGCCTTCGGATTTCCCTCGAATGATACTTAACAGCATCGCTATACCCTTAACCGACTCCTTAATAAAGGTGAGCTGGGAGGATATTGACATTACATAAAATTCTAGACCCTTTTCTTGGGTAGGGATCTAAGGTATCATCCTCTAAACTCTGGGCATATAATCTGGGGATACGATGTGACGGTGGATCCGGAACAAGTCCGAAATTGGGACATCATCCGCAAAACACCTTTTCGACAAATACGACTGTTTCTTGACAAGTTAGGAAGTTAAAACCCAGAAATATAAGAGTGCCTTGCCCTTCAACTACGAGGTCTGACTGATAGCTAATTAATTCATCACTTACGAGCGAGAAAAGACCCCAAAACATTATTCGTAAAAGATCAAGGATCATGCTCACCAAGTCTCTCCTCTTCACGGCCCTCCTCAAGGCCGTTGTCGCGACGCCGATAAATCTCGACGAGCGACAAACCGCCTGCGAGGACATACATTTTTTCATAGCCCGAGGATCAACCGAACCATATCCGGGTGTCCAAAAGGACGTCGTCAACAGAGTATGCGAGGGCTTGTCGAGCTGCGGGTACGAAGATATCATATATCCCGCCACGCTTGAGGACTATTGCAACTCAGCATACGGGGGAGTCGCCAATGGTACTGCGCAGATCACAGCATATGCTAAAAGCTGTCCTGAGGCGAAGTTGGTTTTGACCGGCTATTCCCAGGGAGGACACGTTGTAGGCGACATACTTGGAGGCGGCGGCGGTCCTTTCCAAGACTGCACGCAGAAAACGAGCACGCCTCTATCACCCGAAACCTCGCCCGGTAACCAGAGTACGCAACCTCGCACCCCCAAATTTCGACGGCGTATGCTAACTGGATCTTCTAGTCGTAGCGGTGGTCTTCTTTGGCGACCTGCGTCACACAGCCTCTCAGACTTACAATGTGGGAACAGGTGCCGGTGGTAATGGAGTAAGTACCTGTCTACAAGCGCCCGAATTTATATCGTATACTAACAGGTAGCAACTTAGCTCTGGCCGCGATCCGGGTCGAATCTCGGATCCTTGAACAAATTCTCGGAATCAATGCACTCATGGTGTTTCGCCGAAGATCCTGTCTGCGGTGGTGCCACTGGCCCGGATTTTAGTGCACATCTTAGGTATTTCAATGAGTCTACCCCCGAAGCTGCTGCGTGGGTGAAAACCAAGCTCTGAAAGAACCGCCTATTCGTGAGGATTAGATATAAAGGATTTTCTTTATAATAATTTAGATATACTCTAAAGATACCTTAGGTGGTGGAATATAATTGATATTATCATGATAGGGGACCGGTTTCCAGAAGGTACCTATGAATGAGATGACAAAATGATGTATTGTTGAAGTGTAGTGGGCCGGAACTGGAGGTGCGGTCCTTGGTTATTATGTACCTAGGTACCTAACCTAACCTGACTTACCTATCGAATGGGCATCGAAAATTGCATAAATGGCGTATCGTAAATAGAAAGTTAGCCGGCAAATACATACGCGTGGCTTAGCGGTGCCTGCCTTATTCGCAGCTATAACGCGGGGCAAATGAAGCTTTAGTTTATCTCTTAGATAAGGTAAGGTACAATACCTAAATCTTACGTAGACCTGTGCTTCTTCCATTTATATCTCCAATAGCTCGATAAATAAATCGGAAATCTTGAGTGAACACTTTTACTACCTAACTTATTCACTCCTTATTACTTACTACTCGACGGTTGCGAACACCCTTCTGGACACCTTCTCATATCCGCTCGACGAATCACACAGCCTATCCCGCATACTGTTCGCCCACCATGGCTAGCAATCCCTACGAAGGTAACTTTTACCCAGTATGGATGGCTAAATGCAAGTTAGCTAAACTAACTAACAATCAAACCTGCACAGTCGAGCATAACATTAAGGCTTCGGACCGCCGGCCCCATCGGCGGCGCCCGGACATGTCGAGCTTCACCTCGCATTTACATCAGATATCTCCAGACTCGGCAACAAATAATGCACGAAGCCAACGGGAGCAAACGGGACCTACGCCCGTGGACGCGGCAGCGCTATTCCACCTCTTGCGGGACCAATTTCAGACGCTATCTACGGACGCCCCGACCGAAGAGAACCGAGACTTTCTTGGGTCCCTGATGTCGGCATTGGAGGACGACATTAGGGCGCCACCAGACAAGATCCCCGGCGTGAGCCAAGAGTACCTCGACACGTTGGACCGGGTGCCGCGGAAGAGCCTCAAGAAAGACGACAGCTGCCCCATCTGCGCCGAGCTCTTCGTCGATGACCCTTACCCCCTGGTGGTTGAGCTGCCGTGCCATGGGAGTCATAAGTTCGATCTGGAGTGTGTTGGGCCGTGGCTGCAGAGCAAGGGCACGTGCCCGATGTGTAGAGCAGACTTGAATAAGAAGAAGGTTATCGAAATCCCGAAGGATGACGAGGAAGAAGAAGACGACGTTGATGGGTTGTACGGCTAAGCATTGCGGGCGAGAGTTCTACAGAGAGGTAAATAGATATGTAGTTTGTGATGATAGGTACCCCCCGGAAATTCGATCACAAGCTCTCTGCGAGTAACGTCAAGGTATGGTAAGTATTGTGAAGTTTATGTGATTGCATATATGTCCACCAACGGCTATAGCCAATCCCCAAACTCCTGATCTCGAATGCGAAATTTGTGGGAAATGTGCAACTAAGTTTCAATCTCTTTCCCAGGACTTTTATTCCTTACCAAGCCATTTACCAAGCCATAGATGCTCATCAAGTCCTGCCCTTCTTGAGCGTATTGCCAGCGCCGCTTGCCTTCTTTTTATTACCATGCGTCTTGTCCTCCACATTGCCGCGGCTACCTTCGGCAAAATCTTTGTTCGCGGGACTACTGTCTAAGGCATTGCCATTGCTCTCCGCGCCCGCAGCTTTCACCTCGGTTTCGGGATCCGTCTTGTTCGGGTTGTATGCGGCGTCTTGCTTAGAAGCGATCTCCCCGTCTGTACCGCCCGTCGTGTACTCGTGCGCCTTGGGCTTGAGGGATTCGCGGTCCATGTCGTCCTTATAAGGCATAAGTAGCGCCGATGATTGATGGATCTGTCTACTTGCAACTAGACGGTTCGTGGTTGACATGAGAGGAGCTCCCGACCGAGCTCGTAGAGCTGCGCGCATGGTTGTGAAGCCTGGCATTCTTTTAATGGGTTGATTATTGGTCAACGTTAATAACTATTGTAGTTTATATCAAATGAGAATTTAAACTGAGGCTATTGTCTACCTGTTTAGGGATATGTTGATATATGTGAATTTGCACTATTGCACTTGTAATTCTGACGGTTCTACTTCGTACATAGGTAACATAGAGTTTAGATAATGGTTATAGTGACGTCACTGAATCAATCAAATGCGTATGTAGGGGCATAGGGATGAAAGCTCCACCATATCGGATTTGCAATTCTGTCCGTCTTATTAATCTAGGTTAGGCAACTACCGCGAACTTCAACTTTCTTTTTCTTTTTCCATCTGTGGCATAAGACGTAAAACTCTACAGCCTCGACACTTCGTATTATATGCGTTGCTTTTAATGGACCTGCATAAAGAAGAGAGCCCTTGCAGATGATCAATACATCTTTTTATTGATGATTCTAAGAGAACCGTTACGATACTTACTAGGTAGGCTTCGTTGATACTCGTCGCGGATTCGATAGCTGCTGGTTGAGTGTCCCCGCAACCAAGCATATGTTTATCTAGATCCCAACTAATCCTTGAACCAATGCTATTCCTCTTATTAATATCGGCTTGATTTTTTCTATGGGTTAAGTGGTGTATTAATTTATCGCGATGGGTAGGTAATATGGAAGGCCTGAGTGGCCGGTGGATAATCATGATTCACTGGTAAGGGAGAAGAATACACACAAAAGAATCAGGTTAAGGATGACAATCAGCGAGCTAAATGACCAAGGATAATTCAAAAATGATATAAAATAGTAAGCGATTCTCATTCCAGTATATATGTGCTAACTATCCAGCATTATCCGTCTCATTCCTCGTAGGAATATTATCTAGATTACACCCTCTATCGTTTTATACATCTTGCCATCTAAGTATGTGACAAGAATCGAAGTCTCTTTCCCAATTATAAGGTACCGCCGCTAAGTTCGGAAGAGCCACCACGGGTAGGGGTTTTTAAACTAACAACGCGGCAACGACGGCAAGACCGGCAGCGATTTTTCCGTCGGCTGTGAAGATGCCGCCCGCCTGATGCGATACGGTTGTAGTGACTACGGCGGTAGGAGCAGGGGTGACGGGCGCTTGAGTAGTCGAGTCTACAGTGGTAGCTGAGCTGCTCGAGGTCTCCTCACTACTGGTGTCGCTACTGGTTTTGCTGCTCGTGCTGGATGAGCTTTCGTGATGGATGGTAAAGGTTGCTGTCGCTGTTGTCGTGCGGCTAGTGGTGGAAGTAAAGTCATCATCCGTTGCAGAACTGCTACTAGAGCCCAGGAAGCTACTGGTAAAGCTCGGGAAGCTGCTGCTATTGTCGTCGCAATCATCGCCAGCCTCACAGCAATATCCATCATTGGTACATGTGCCGAACTCGGGGCAATAATGGAGTCCGTCGGCGCAGCATGTTCCAGTTAAGGGCATACATAGGTCGCCGCACTCGGTCTCACCGATGTCACATGAGGCTTCGTCGTCGCTGGATCCGCTGCACATTTCTCCTTCAGGACAGCATGCATTGGGAATACAGTAGTAGCCATTGCGGCAGTACTCGTCGCTGTTGTCGTTGCAACATACACCATCGATAGGCATGCATCCATTCTCGCACTGGACACGGCCTACATCGCAAGTTGCAAAGACATTGAGGAGCTTGGATTGAGCGAAGCTCTTCGGCAGGCCAGAACGCGCTCGTGGCGTCGCGGCCATGACGGCCGGCGCAACGAACAGAGCAAGAGCGAGGGCGTGCATCGTATACTTTGATGTTTTGGGTGGGATTTGTATAGACTTGACAGCTGAGCAATTGGAGTTTTGGCCGTGTAAGGTTGAAGAGACGCTTTAAAAAAGGCAAACCCACGACGACGGTGCCTGGACTACCGCGTACCTTTTATTTTCTTACCTCGTCTCGATCTCATTACACTCAGAACCCGAAGCGGCACATAATTCTCGCCGTAAAAGCCTTGTCTTTTTCGATGGGCTGAAAAGCCAAGCGGCTAGTTTCATTTCCCGGCCAGGGAGCTGCATCTCCAGGATTATAACACCTACCCGCTCTGTTGCCATGCTTGTCCTAGAGCCCCAATAGCCAGGCATATTTTCCAATCAGGAGGCTTGGTATGTTTGCTTTGACTTGGGCGAATTTTACCCCGTGTGACTATCTGAAAAAATCAAGTCGGTGAGCTTAATGCGCAGAAGTCTCTTAGATAGGACGTCGTGGATATTCAGTTTACGGTGATTCGGTAGAGAGTATAGGTTAGCGCTACTAGCCCTCAACAAGAACGCTTGGCATTGTCTAGCTCTACCTCTCGATATCCTGTACATCAAGTCGCACGTGCAGCGAGGTGAGAAATGCCTTCAAGTTCGAATCGTATTATTTGCCAGCACGAGCGAAGATAGGATACGCAGCAAATGTACCAGGACGCCACGTCTTAGCTACAGGCGACACGACGGACGCATGATAAGAACACGAATAGGTAATGTACGTCTCACTTCCCATGATTTTCTTGGCCTCTTGAGGATGAGTGAGGAGAAAAAAGCCACTATATGATGCTTTGCGAGCCTTAGCCTAGGCTGAATCGAAGTTATTAGTCACAGTGATCCCCGAGCTGAATTAACCCCTGAACATTGACGGACTGGTTTTGTCGTTAGTCACATCTTTTTACCAATACTCTTCGTCGTTAAAATACCAAGGGGCAGCTAGCCTTATTAGCGGAGCAAGGATCCGTTGAGCTGGCCTACAGCCGCAATGCATCAACCCTGGTTAAAAGGACGTGAAAATTAAGTGCCAAGATGACGCTGGACATTGAAAACTCATCATGACAATCTCGTTAGGCTGAGATATTTATCTCGGTAATGTTGATGTGGCGATGCGCTCTTCGCCAACTGCGCAACTTGGTGTTTTTCGAAGAGGAAATCACTCTTAATTCCGAGTTTAGAGGGGAAAGCAAGCGTGTATACTCTCTCCCTTCAGTCACGAAGTCTCTATCTCATATATCAACACGGCTGGCCTCAGACTTAGAGATAATTCAGCGGTGACGATGAAGCTTAGTGGCTACGGCACCGAACAGTTGGGGTACCTAAGGTATCTCATTGTCTTTCCCATACAACAGCCTTAATAATATTCAACTATTGAGACATTTAGAATGACCTGGTTGAGATTTCGAGTTATCTGCGGGTAAAATGCTGGGTTTGTTCTTGGTCCTATTTGCCCATCGATACAAGTGCAAAACCTATAATGAACACGGCATCGTATCCTTATCCTTGATATAAGTAGTTAGGATCGTGGTTTCAAGTCTACGATAATCACGTAACTGTATATTTGCTCTATGAAGCGCATGCTTTCCACTTTATCACGATATACAAAGGTGGTGTTGACCATGGACTTCAAATTGAAGTCCCGATTCCGAGGAGTCGTAGTATGAGGATTTCTAGAGATAACTAAACGTGAAATCAGGCGTTGGACTATGATGAGACATCAACAGGGGTTGCACTAACGAAGACAGGGTGTCAGATAAACTGTGTCTTCGATGTCGACTTACCACGCCGGCTACGGACTGTCGGATCTTAAAATGATCAGACAGACTCAAGTCTTTGAACTCTAATAGACTGGGTAATAGACTGGGTGGCCATCAATCAATGACGACACACCAACTTTAATAATACCCACCTTGAGGCTAGATTGGTATTCTAATCAGACGACAGCTTGCAAGATTATGTCGGACGGGATCCCAAGTCGAGTCCCCAACCTCGTTTACTCAGATTTCCAACTACTCTCCTGGGTGTCGTGGGTTATGTGCCCCTTTCAAGGATGCCTTGAAGGTGACATTGAGTGAAAATCATGGTCCTAAGCCATCGGAGCTCTTCGGCACTCGATTAAGCATGAAAGCTGCAGCATGCATAGAGCCTATTTCCTACATCTCCTCTCCAGTAGCTATTAAGGAGGAGAATGTGCTGCGCACCTTCTCGTAATTCGTTGGGCATCACGAAAGTCCCGTCGTGATCGATATTACGTGTTCTGTCGTATCGATTATTGTTATCTTGTTTGTATTTCTACTTAGTTATAGGGAGTCTTCACCCTTCTGCCTTGCTATACATTAAAAGCTGCGTGGGAGGTATCGTCTATGAAGGCAGCCCGGCTATTTCGAACAGATCAACGTATAACTTATCCTGGGGGTTAGCAGAGAGTTAATCTTCGTAATAGAACCGGAGGGACCTCAACATGTCTATCTCGGCGGCGGATACCGTTACGAATTCCATCGATATTTCGGGTCCCTGGGAAGACAAGGGGCTATACGACATCGATCTTGTTGATACATCCAAAACCCCGTCCAGGGAAAACATCACCCAAGACGATGAAGAGAATGAATACCCAACAGGACTCAAACTACACCTGATTATCCTATCTCTCTGCATGGGTGTCTTCCTTGTAGCCCTCGACCAGACCATTATCGCCCCGGCGCTGGGCGCTATTACCAGTGAATATGGTAGCGTGGGGGACATAGGTTGGTACGGTAGCTCGTACCTCTTGACCTCGACCGCACTACAACCGCTATACGGCAAAGTATACCGGATCTTCGACATCAAGTACTCATTCCTAGGCGCTATCGCACTCTTCGAACTTGGCAGCTTGGTCTCGGCCATGGCGCCCTCTTCCACAGCCTTCATCATCGGACGGGCCGTAGCGGGAATGGGCAGCGCAGGTTTGTTCTCTGGCTCAATCGTCATCTTATCGTACACTCTGCCTCTTCGGAGACGACCTCTCATGTTCGGTATGTTCGGCTGCATGTGGGGTATCGCGTCCGTCGCCGGGCCCCTGCTAGGGGGCGCCTTCACGGACCATCTCACCTGGAGATGGTGTTTCTATATCAACCTGCCGATCGGGGGACTCGCGATGGCGGTGATATTCTTCTTCCTGAAAATTGCCCGGGTTAACAATCCGGACGGCCAACCTTTCCTCGCGCGGGTTCTGGAACTTGACTTGATAGGGGCTGTGGTATTAATGCCGGCGATCATCATGTTACTCCTCGCGCTCCAATGGGGAGGTTCTCGGTTTCCGGTATGTCTGATAACTCAGCTATAATTCCGGGGTTCCTGTATACTACATATGTTAACTCTAGATGTCGTAGTGGAGCGACCGCCGTATTATCGGCTTATTTGCCGGTGCTGGTGCCATGGCCCTGATCTTTATTGGCATTGAGCATTACCAGCAGGACAAGGGCTTGTTACCTCCAAGGTTCTTCAAGGATCGAAACTTGTTGTGCGCTATGCTAGTAAGTACAATCCCGAATTTACCTGTGCTTCGTGGAACTATTCACAATCGAGGCCTAACAGCCACTCCAAGACCAAAACCACCTGTGAGACATTCTGAGAAGGGCAATTGCTAATTTGGGATGTAACAGTTTGCCGCCTTCTTCGGAGCCTCGTTCTTCCCCCTAATCTATTATCTTTGTTAGTGTACTCTTACCATTCCAGTAATTCGAAGACGTGTAATATAGATATCTGACCTACAGCAGCCCTCTACTTCCAAGCCATACAGGGAGACAGCGCCGTCAGGGCAGGCATCAAGCTCTTACCCCTCCTCATATCCGTAGTCGTCAGCTCGATCATCTCAGGTGCCCTCATCACCGCCACCGGTTACTACAACCCGTTTATCCTAGTTGAGATCGCCATGGTCGCCGTCGGCGCGGGACTGATCACGACCTTGGACCTGCATACCCCCTTTGCCAACTGGTTCGGGTACCAGGTCCTCGACGGGCTGGGCGTAGGCATCGGATTTCAGGCCAGTGTCATCGTAGTGCAGAATGTAGTTTCGAGAGAGCTGGTTCCGCAGGCTACGTCGTGTGTGCAATTCTTCCAGGTTCGTCGTATCAACAACACCAATCCATCTTGAAACCGCTCCCAAAACTAATAAAAAAAATAAACCAAAATAGTCTCTCGGCGGCGCCCTCTTCATCGCCGTCGCCCAAACCGTATTCCAAAACGGCCTCATCAACGGCCTAGCCCGCGACGCGCCACACCTCGACCCCGAACTCTTTACGCACAGCGGCGCGTCCCAGGTCCGGCAGGTCCTATCGTCCATCGGCCAAGAACGCATGCTCAACGCCGTGCTAGGCGCTTACATGAGCGGCCTGCGGCACACGTATTACATCTCGGCAGCCGCGGCGACTGTGGCGTTCCTCGCCGCGCTAGGCCTCCAGTGGAAGAAGATCGAGAAGAAGGGCGATGGCAACGCGGCTACGGCCGCAGGCGAGATCTGGAGAGCGTGTACGCCGGCTGCTGAGTTTGATACGTTTTATGAGGGGGCGGGCGAGTTATGTGCTGCGTCGAAGCTGCAGAAACGCCGGCGTGGGTATCCTTAAGGAGGTGAGTGCATGTTCGCTGGATTGGTATGTATCTGGATGGCATTCCGTACATAGGATTTTCAGATAGATGTGCTGTATGTTTGGTATAGGCTTGGTTTTCGACGCGGGTGGCATGGGTGGGAGGATCAGATAAAACCCCGTCTATGGATTTGCTGTCTGTATCTAGTGTTTTGCTTGTCCGTTGTCAGTACGCTTGCTCAGTGCCATTAAGCAACCATCAGTACCCCCGTCATCTACACGCTCATAATGGTAGTGTCACAATTTCACATAATTCAATGACATGAAGACCAACCCGAGTTAAAAAAAACATCGCTTCATAATTCAACGTTTAACCTATTGACCTAACAGAATCCCATACGCATGCTCTATAAGCTCTGTTTAATTGCCACGACATCACTCGTAAGCAGTGCTTCCTGCACGCGGGTATATTAACCCGGAATTTTCTTCCCAAAAACAATCGCCATTGACCCATCAATACATCGCAGAAATCAAATCTGATCAAATCAACGCCGTGCCGTACCTTAAATGTAGTACATAGTGTGTTCTAAGTTCCGGTGGATATCTGGGGCTACCACTGTGGTCTGGGTGCTAGACGTGGACTGCGTCTCAGCGCGCTCGAAGTAATCATCGAGGTATAATCGTTGTCGAGTACACACGATGTCGGCATAGTATGCTGGCGGACAGATGCTGACGGCCTTGGTTGCTCGGCCGAAGAGGTAGCACATCTCGTGCGTCAAGGCCTCGAGACCATTAGCTGCTTCCGATCCGAGGGTCGGGCGGAAGACTTCGTCTAGTAGGACAGTGTAATGAGCTGGCCTGGCTGTGCCTATATGACGTCAAAAAGTTAGCAAAACGTGTGGCGGCGTCACAGAGGATAGGGATGATTACCTTGTAGGGCCTGGTGGGCGGTTAGGAAGAAATCCCATACTGTAGCCTGAGTAACTCCTCGGTCTACCACCGTCCCGCTCTTGATGTTTCGAGATCTTGTCATATGCGCGGGATCTGTAGGGTAGAAACGCGTGTGGTGTCTCTTCACTGATACTACAATAGAGATCTTAGGTTGCTGGTTTGCTGGGTATTTTTGCGCGCAAGCCTGTCGGATGTACGGAAGCTCCTTATCCAAGACCTGTGTGAACTGGCCTTCGGACACACCATCTCGGAATATGATAATGTTCTGCGGCAAGGCCTTGTTGTTGTGAGACCTCCATAGATCCAGACGCGAAGCAAACTTCTCCTTCAAGGTTTCGTTCAGCATCTCGACCTTTCCTGTCTGAGACCAAGCCGCAGCAGGCCACTGGCCTAGATCCCGGTCTATGCTCGATACCATTCCAACCAAGCTCGGAAGACCACCTGAGCCGCCTGCGAGGTTCGTCGGATGGGTAACGTCGTACCCTAGAACCATTGTCTTACCCTCTTTAATGATGGGGACATCATCCTTCAACTTGTGGTTAATGCCGCCCATCTTCAAGTTGACCTTCAGACCGACGTTCGCAAAATATTGCGGGCTACACTTAATAATGTTGGATCGAAGCACGCACACGGTGTGGTATCCGAATTCAACATCGCCCAGCAGCTTTACGACCTTGTATATGTCTTTGTCGGTCTTCTTGCCAGGAAGGACGACGAACACGAATTGGGGGGGATTGTTTTGGAATTGGGTAAACCTCTCCCTCAGGCGAACAATAGGAGGCTCGTTTCTCGAGCAGTGAACTGTATTGTTCGCCGACGGCATTGGAGCACCGGCTATGCTGATACCCGTCTTTATCATGAACTGAATAAAGGCTTTCATGGCATCGCGAAGGTCTTCCGGAGTGTTATTCTGGAAGTAGTCGACATTAATCCACGTCCACCTGGCAATTGGTCGACCGGGTTTGACGACTTTCACATTTTGCATATTCCAACTGCCGTCATTAACGAAGGCATTTTGCGGCCTGTTCTGGAGGTTCAGATAGGCAATAATAGGCGGTGTTAGCTCGCGTCCCTTCACCGCCAGCAGCTCCTTACCAGCGTTAACTTTGAAATCCGTCTGTAGAATGATTAGCAAGGTTCATATAGTATGAGATATTAAGGTAAACACCTACAAGCGCCTTGTTGCCATCTAGTCCTAGGCACTTACGACCCTCATTCATGATCGACGTCGCATTGGCCCAGGGCGACCGACAAGCAAACAAGATCATCTGCGCTGTCTCGTCACCTGTTGTTTTGCGCTTGAGAGGTTGTCCCGGTATAACTTCGAGCAACTCCGCCGGCATGTAGATTGGTCTTACTGTGCCAAATCTGACGACAGGCAGGTTGGGGTCTACTTTGTAGCCATATTCTGTGTGGTGGTTAGCATTGAGCTCGACTGAAAACAAGACAAAACGAACTTTTGAGATAATAATCTGCGACTGTGCAGTAAGCATCTTCCTTCAGACCCGGTGGAACAGAACCTGAGAGGAAAAAGGAGACCTCCGTAGGGCCGCCACCAGCGCGCTTCACCAGCGGCTGCTTTTTCTGACCCTTGCCATCGTTAGGCATAGCAATGCCAGCGATCTGCTTCTTTATTATTTTTTCCCCTGATTTCTGACCCCCTTTCGAGCCCGGAACTGTTTTTTCAGCGAGAATTCTACAGTTGCAACGTAGACCTGCTAAGAACTTGTTGAGCTGGTGTGGAGCATTAGTACCATAACTTTTCATCAAAGCAGCCACGTTTCCACTCGTACGGAATACGCCATGGGACACATTGGCATTTAGTAGGATACGGCCCGTGGTTAGTCGAGCACTTTGGAAGTATCCACGAATGACCGTGTTGTTGTCTGGGTAGCCCAACTGGTTAATTTCCGAGGGGATATCAAGGGGGAAATGTCGGCTTCGGCCTACAGACGCAATTTGATCGTTGGAGCGAGCTCGGTATCCAGTGATTATGCTGATTGCATCGATGGCCTCTATAAATTTCGGGAACGATGTATCTCCAGTAGGATCCTGCATGGATTGGGCATACGCTCTCAGCTTGTCCATGTCAATGTCGGGTGCACTAGAAAACTTGACGTCGTAAACATCATTCTTGCCTTCATCGGTATAAGGAACCTTGACTACTTGATCCTTGGGTAGTTGCAGCGGTTTGAGTGTAACAACTTGGCTCTTGAACTCGGTCGCATAAGGAATTCCTTTAGCGATCTGACCAAGAGCGATCTTGACGATAGCTTGAAGCTTCATCCCTTTCGCTTCCATTGGGACGTCACCCTTCTTATCAGATTTCTTCGCGCCTGGTTTTGCTTCTGATGAGCCCTCGTCCTTCTTGAGACTACTTTCCTTATCTAACGTCACTTCCAGGGTGTATTTATATAGTGACGGCGTCTGCTTGACGTCCAATGCGAAATAGTTGGCCCAAAGAGTAACTTCTGTGCCCTTCGTACCAAAAGCCGGCCGGAGAGGCATCCATTCTTCTGCAGAAGGCTTTTTGCTCTTGCTAGACGATAACTTCAAGGCTGACATTTTGGCCGCCATCCCGAAGTCATTGAGAATCTTGTTCTCAAGCATAGTAATGCTATCGTCTGGGCGAGGTGCTCCATTCGACCTACAACTGTGTTAGCATCAAAGCACACGAAGAATGAACCGAAACTTACTTGTACACTTCGTTCTCACCAACAAATCCGCCTCGACCGCCTCGGCCACCTCGTCCTCCTCGGCCGCCACGGAAATCACCGCCACCTCGTCCACCACCACGAAAGTCTCCTCCGCCTCGTCCGCCACCGCGATCTCCGCGGAAGTCTCCTCCTCTACCTCCGCGATAATCACCGCCGCCACGTCCGCCGCCGCGTCCGCCTCCCTGGTCAAATCCAGAAAAGGTGGCACTCCCACCACCACCACGTCCGCCACGAGGGCCACCTCGTCCTCCACCACGGTCTCCACGGCCACGATTACCTCTGCCGCGATCTGCCATATTGGCTGTTGCAACACGATTGAGAAAGAGTGACTAGGGAAAGCTATTCTTAGGGCATGTAACTAAACTTGGGAGATATGAAGCTTGGGAATGGTTAAAATGCTAAAGCAGTTCCCGGAGGTAGTCAAATAACGATAATTGATGGCTATGAAGGTACTTATAGAGTTAGATGGATGGACTCTGGCGACCGTAGATGGAGTTAGGAAAGATTCTCACCTGAGAGTGTGTAAAGATAGGTAGATAGGTATGCTAGGTAACAGACAACACGGATGTCTAGTTGATACGCATTAAGGTATATCTGTAATAGTATGAGATGCTGGTTTTAATAGGTCATGAGCGTGAGAGAGGGGGATTAAGGCACATGAACAGGATGTGAGATGTGAGGCGATATTAATAGTGCCATATAGGGAAGTATGTGTGTCTTGATGTAGCAAGAAGGCGACGCCCTTTCTATAGGGTGATTGTCATCAGGGCAAGTAAGGTAGGAGGGCTTGATTGTGAAAACTGTTTGGTTGTGTTTGAAGCCAAAATAACAAAAGCTGGGGGGTTGTAAGGATCCCGAAACTGATGCAATGAAGCGCCGATTCACTAGGATGATCACTAGGATAGTTACATACCAGAGATGATAGCGATTAAAGATCGGATTGACTTCACCTGCTGGGTCTACCGGTGTGGGGTGAAGCCGGTGAAGCAGGTTAAGCAGGTTAAGCTCCGATATGGGGCGATATGGCGATATGAGTAGGGTCTAACTCTGATAGACAGTCCTAGAAGCTCTAGCTCTATAGATAAAGAAGAGATGAAAATAAACCGTTAAGGGGTTCCTTTTCTATGTATAAGGCTAGAGGAGAAGAGAGGGGTCTAACAGTGACTTAAGCCGAAAATAACAAAGACAAAATCTACCTAAAGAAAAGTATCATAGAATCTTGGGAAGGGGAGTGTGAAATAAAGCCCAGCTCGTTAGCTTGCCGACACTAAGGGCCCATTAAAGGTACATACAACATGAAGTCACTTACAGGGCTCACGTAAAATCGAAGTTGTCACGCAGGATACATGTTACAGGTACATACATTCATACATACAGTTTCTAACCTAGGTACTTAAACAAGCTAATATTCTTTTATAAAATCAAATTTCCCTTGTAAAACGGTTACTTCTTCTTTGCGATTCTTCTTCTTTCCCTCAAGAGCGGTGTGTAAGTCGGCTTGTTCATATATTAGGTGCGTTCCGTATAGTTATTAGGTAGGTAGTTGTACGTTCTAACTACGGGTTTGTACATACAATACGCATTGAATACGTATTCACGATACTCGACATCTAGATATTGAACCACCGATCGGGCAGCTGAACCGTTTAACACCCAATTTTGGCGTTTCGAGGACCCGCGCACACGGATCAGAGCTGCAAGCTACCCCTGTCTGAACCAATCCCCCCTGTGCCCCTGTCCCCTTGCCCCCCTGTCTTTTCTTGCCCTACAACTGTGCGTCTTGCATAAACAAAACGTCACTCGCACCAACCAAAAATACAAAAATATTTGTCAAAATACATATATACTGCTTCGCAACCTTCCTGATATCTAATACTTGCTCGTATATCCCTTCAACCATCTCATGAGAGGCAAACATTGTATAAATATCGTAGGGATATAACTGAGAGAATTATACAACATTTACGGTAGCTGATTGCGGACATCCCTGTTCTGTTTCCCGTCTACACCGCTAAACTATCTTGGTTTACTTTTTTTTTATCCAAACAGGGATTACTGTCATATAGCTGTATAGGTACCTAGGTATGATTTGGTTAAGAAAATAGCAGGAATGCTGTCCGAAACCCTATCACATTAACCAATCATCCTTTTTACTTAATGATAAAAGCCAGTGGATATCGAAAACACCTTTGAGGTGCTTTAAAAAAGTGATATGTCTCTTTGACAGCAAAACTTGTCAGCCCACTATTGCTGTAAGCCATAGGCATCCAAAAGTCAACCAGCTTATGAGTCACTCTGGCTGGCCTTTGGAAGAGTCATATCTTAGCTACATATGTACCTTATGTGCAAGCCAAGGCGACCCAATCAGCAATCCTAGGTTCGTTCTCTTTATATTAACAGTATATCGATAGCGGTAACCTTCCGAGTCGTCACCTTGTTTCCTTGGCAAACTACAGCGCCTTTACTAGCAATCTATCTAGTACCTACACCTTAACCTACAACTTATCAACTACCTGACCAACTTCAGCCTCACTAGACCACCAATTGGCTGGATGCTGCCCGGACTGCCCACGTGCATATTGCGAACCGAAGCAACCGCGCCACTTCTTCTTCTGCAGGACGCCACCCTGCATATTGCGCCTCAAGATGTAACATCTTATTGGAGGGTAAGAATTGGGCCTCACAGCATGGCTATTAACCTCGCTAGAGAGTCTGACACGTAGACTCCTTAGGCCCAAGTTGCCCCCGATCTTCCCCACAACCATCGAGGAATCAGAGTCCTATGTACGCCTGTGTTCAGAAGTGAATATGGGACAATATCTGTTTAGGTCGTTGTGCCATCCAGCACCAACTAATCCCCATGGGGATACTAGTACTACCGGACCGACCCGCTACCCGCGCTGCTACCTTCGTCTCCAGTCTTCCAAGCCATAGAGCGGATGCCGCGAGGGTGCTTACTCGCAGTCAGCTCAGATTCCCTCCGGGATTTGGATACGGGCTTGTTCGCTCGGGTTGAGGTGATATTAGAAGTTACGGTCCGTTTGTACGGCCTCATTCGACCAGATAGATCGGCATAGCCCCATTAATTCCGAAATTGCTGTGCTGTCATGCAGTACTGCCAACCCTTGTGATAAGTATTGCATCAATCCCGCTGCGAACAGAAGTCCCTGGTCCTCGTCTAGACCTCGAGCCGGGTCCTTACAATCAGTGTGACTCATAGGATACACGACATCCCCATAAAGAGACCGTTTGGTTTGAACCATTGGGCAGGTTGTGCGACAATATACATAAGCTGAAAGTTGTCTTGCGTAATAGCCCTTCAACAAATATCAACTATAGATCGATGACGATAGAATAGTACGGAATTCATGTGTGGAAAATGCTCTTCAATAACGATATTCTGGTAGATCACTCCAAGTTAAATTAAAGGACATGCACAAGTATCGAATTCAAACCGCTACTTAATTTAGGAACAGGTAAGAAATCTTGATTATCGATGAATGTGATGTACCATTCCTTCCTAACACTCCCATTGATGTAATATATGTCCCTACTAACGTTAGATTAAGTTTCAAGTAGCTTAAATGAAGTCATTTCTATTTACCCCTATCAGATTCCTCGACGCCTGAAAGCCCGCTCTCAGCTGTATCTGTTACGATTCTAGATGAGACATCTAAGCAAAGGACAATGTCGGCATGTATAGCCGTAAGTTCCCATACCCAGCTTGGAGTTCCTTGCGGAGCAACAAAATTGTTTCTATGCCTCTTGCTCTATCTCGTGATAGTATCAATAGTCTAGTCTAATATGTATGTATATCGTTCTTAGTGCAATGACTAGAGATTTCCTAACTCTTTCTTGCGTTGTTATATCAGGATTATCCACCCGGTGCTGATATCCGTCCGTCCTTGCTGTGTGTCCTAACTCTCTAAGTCTTCCCACCTACTTGATATTCTTGTAAAAGTCCCCAATGGTATTCATGTGGCCTCTAGTGTCTTTTGTATCATTTCCTACCCATTCTCCCGGGCTGGCCTGAAGTAGTTATCCCACAACAGGTTGATAGCAATTCCTTAAGCCCTCTGGTTAGTATACGGTTTGCTTAAATCCGGTTCCAGTCAGAGTAAAGAGCCACGCCAACATAGAGACAGGAGTCTTGCCGAGTATATTATAATAGCCATCCAGTCCAGGTTGTATGATGTTAATTAATAGTAATTAGGCTATCTTGGACAAAATTCTTGACAGTCTTTACATTTTCCAGCTTTCCAGGAGAAATAAAAATCCAGGGGTATTTTGGATACTACCGTATTAGCCTACCAAATCCGTTTTGTGTCTTTCTGATTGACCTGATACCCAAATGATAGATAGCCAATCCTTAATTTAAAGGGGAAGTTATTTACGTATATCACTATTTAGAATTAGAGTATCTCGCGACTTTACAACAGGCTTGGTAAATTCACCACTGTCATAAAACACGATAGAAGGTGGAAAACTAAACTGTTGGTCGTGAAATATAAGTCACCTTTAAGCAACCACGCAACTATAGCTTGCGTGTTTTAAAAACCACAGCCCTAGGGTTTCGGTGATATCTTTTCTATATATAAATACTTAGGGGGCATTGATACATTTGCAAGGCCGAAACCAAGGAAGCTTCGTGAATCCCCTCCCCTCATTCGTGCGGTAAGTATCATAACTATTATTCAATCTCTTTTGTTTCCCTCCCTTTTTGGGCGAAGAGAGGGAAAGCAACCACTAGTAATAGACGGCCATTACATCCCCAAGGGTACTCTATTTTGAGTGAACATTTACGCCTTAAGCCACAATGCTGCTATTTCCCCCGAGCTGTTTACGTTCAAGCCAGAACGCTGGCTCCCTTCCAGTAGTATCGATCCAGAGACAGTGGAGTAGTGATGAGGCTAATAGAAAGTTGATGCTTGAGGCTTTTACCAGCTTCTCCATAGGACCGCGATATTGCGTGGGTAGGCTATTGGAGTATTTAGAAACATCACTCATCCTTGCGAAGACGCTTTGGTATTTCGACTTTGAAGCCGCTTCTGGTCCACTTGGCTCCGTTGGGAAGGGTAAGGATAGGGGAAGACTAGGCGAGTTCTATACGGAAGATGTTTTCAACTCGACCTATGATGGCCCTTTTCTATTCTATCCGCGACAGTCGGGTCCTTTGGAAGAATACCTTAGAATGCGCGCATAAAATATGATAAGGACCAGGGGCCTTGGTTTACTCTGTATTCGCTGCTAGCTTATTGTAGATTTAAAGTGTATAGGTGAAGTCAGCAGTAAGACCCTCTTGATTAGCCTCACACTTCAATATATGGCACTAATAACTGTATTGAGATATTTGTTTATATTGGGTATAAAACTGACATACAGTATTTTATGTATAGTCATTGCTAATATATCTTTTCTTGGGTTGTCCCATCCACCTCATGTTCCCCCTTTCTTCACCTGGGGCGCATATAAATAAGCCGATGTCTATCCTCCTCCATCGGCTTGCACTCTCGGCATTTATTCCTCTTTTCTCTTCCTCCCCCTTTCAGCTTGACCGGCCATCCCGGCTCTGCGCCTTGCCACCCTGCCGTCTGCGGGACATGCAGAGTGAAGGTTGTATATTTTATACCGCAGGCCGGACTATTTGGTATGAGTTTCTTAGTCTGTACGGCCTTGCTCAAGCGCCAGCATATTAGTAAACACTTTTTTCTAATGCCCAAGTCTTGAAGCGGTACCGTAACTACCGCCCAATCCTAAGCCCATTTTATACATCTTAACATAGGTACTCTATCGACTCAGGTGAATCATGACTCCAGCTTTTCGCAAATGTGCCAACTTCACAGTTTGCACTCACTCTTCCCAAGCACCTTTTAACCCTGCATCTTAGACTGCACCCACTTTACCACACCTCCCTTGGCGACGATTTCTTGAACGCTAGGAGGCATCTCACCAACCTTTTGCTCCCAGGAGGTGCCATCCTGCTCTGTAATGATGACTTTGGAGCGACGGACGTCCCAAAGTAGCTTCCACCCTGTACGGCGAGTCAGGGGTTTCTCTGCGTCGTCCTTATACGCTCCACGAAGCCGCTCGACCAATTTCGGGATTTCAATTCCAAGAAGAGCGTTGTTGATGCCTGAAATATTTCCATTAGTTCTTTGACATCATGAATAAAAGTAAGAGAATTTCAAGGGGTACTCACTATTGCGGCTGAAGATGTTACCGAAGCTACCGGCAACAACGAGAGGAATCTGATTGGCTAAGATAGAAGTGGCAGCTTGCTCACGAGAAGAACCGCACCCAAAGTTGAATCCGGTCACCAGCACATCATTTGGTTTAACAACTTTGCGGAACTCGGTATCGTAGTTCTCCATGCACACCTCGGCCATTTGCTCTGTGGTCAGGCCGTCCTGGTAGGTGTAGCGTCCGGGGTAGATACCATCAGTATTGATGTTGTCATTGTCGCCTGTCGCAGTTAGCAAATGACTCCGTAAGTGTATGTAATCACCACTCACAGAAAACAATCTCTCCCTCAATCTTCTCGGGGAAGCCTGGGAGGACGTCCGTCAAGGTCTCGTCTTCAGTGGCCGCTGGGCTGGCCGATTCCTCAACGGCTCCTTCAGCAGCGCCAATCATGTTATCCATCTCAACAATAATTTGTTCAAAAGCATCTCCAATAGAGCGAGCTTTGTCGGCAACAAAGTCGCCGGTCCCCTCACCAAAGATAACCTTTTCAACACCTTCAGGCTTCAGGTACCAACCAGGGCTAGCAATCTTACCCTGAATAGCACTGGCTGCGACTACCTCAGGGCTGGCTAGATAACACAGTGCCTTGGGATTACCTTGAAACAGCAAGTTAGTATCGTATATAAAGCTGGAGCCATAGAGTTTAATTACCCATGCGCCCTTTATAGTTCCTATTACTCGCCGATATGCCTACCTCGCCTTCCTCAAGCAATCCCTATATCAAAGATTAGCACCGAAGAAAGAGGTCAAGAACATATAGTATATGCTACATACACGGCCTAAGCCTATACAAGGACCACACCCAGCCGGGAGTAGCTCAGCTCCAGACTGTTCGAGGATCTGCCAGTCTCCAGCCTCTTCCGCCATCTGCTGTTCAGCTAGAGATGCAGGTGCAAGATATAACTTAACACGAGGATGAACCTTAGCAGGCTTGCCATCATTGCCAGCCTCACGGAACACACGAGCAGCAGCAGCAAAATCCGTACTCCTGCCGTTGGTGCAACTCAAAAGATATGCCTTGTCTATGGCAATATCCTCAGTCTCGAGCTTCTTAACAGGGGTAGCAACTTTGACAGAGTTGGGACCAGCAACAAAGGGCGAAAGAGTAGATCTACGCCTTGTTAGAATAACATATATGAATGGGATACGGGGTAAGGCTGTTTTTTCTTACAGGTTAAGATAAAATTCCTTAGCATATACAGCACCAGGATCAGCAACTAGAGGGTTTTCCAAAAGCTCGTCAATCCGCTTGTGATTTATACGATCTTTGGTGGGACTATCAGACATGGCTGCAATTGTCGCTCTGGCGCGGTACCATGAGATAAGCATATCGTCCATAGGAAAGAGACCTACCCATACGTATTAGTAACTGAGCGGAATTGCGGGAGAAGGGGGTAGCTACCTGATAGCGCTCCCCATTCGGTTGTCATGTTGGCGATTGTCAAGCGTTCGGAAATGGGGATGCTTGCCAGAGTCTGCTTAGACCCGGTGAACTCTACACACATATTTAGCACATCGGATTTGAGCATAGCACATAGGGCAATAATCGTGTCTTTGCCCGTGACTCCCGGAGGCAGGACGCCCGTGAAAGTGATTTTCGCAATTGGTGGAACTTGCCAGAATATTGTAGAGGTTGCCAGGACACTTGCGGCGTCCGAGCGGACGATGGCCGTGCCAAGACACGATATACCACCGTACATGTTGGAGTGACTGTCGCTAGCAACTCTATAATAACGGATTAGGACCGGGTACGTGAGGCATCTTATCTGGGTTGGGAACTAGTTACGTGACGGTTCCTGGCCAGGCGTAGCCTTCTTCAATCATAATTTGATGCCCGATCCCGTGTTTAGCAGGATCTACTAAGTTAGTTTAACATGCTTCAAATATCTTTGGGAGGGGAAGTCCCGGTAGTGGCAGCATACAAAAATCTATGCCCTGCTTTTTGGCGAACTCCTCGATTAGGCGGTATTTGCGTAAATTTTGTTCCGAGTCGTTCTGTACATCGTGATCAAGTCTGCGAATAATTAGACAAGGAATGTGAACTGGATTATAAGGCAAGCTAGCATACGTCATGACAACCTGGCGATTATCGTTGACCCTGGTGGCGCCCATTTCCATGTATCTACGCAGCCTAGTTAGCGTGTTATTATTACAATGAGTCAATGAAGTGTTATTACTTGGTAATTACGGGCCAGGAGTTATCGTGGGTCATGCTCTTATGAGGCCTTTTGCAGGGTGATATTAGCTCGACTTCCTAATATCCAGACCGGGCGTAGACCGAGCGTAGACCAACCGCAGCGTAATATAATCTCCAGCTCTGACTTTTCTTCCTTCACGGAGGCCATCTGCATGAAGCTGTACAATCTTCTCGGTAAGTGTCTGCGGATTGCTCGGGGCGGTGGAGCTCAGAGAAGACTGGAGGGCGGAGGAATTGAGAGTGCTATCAATTTGCGACTGGAAGGCCTGTTGCCGTCGGGAACTGGTCGAGGAGTAGGTACGGAGCCGAGTCACAGGTACCGACAGTAATCGCGAGCGGGCAATCGATGTTCGGACCTGCCGCATAGCAAGGGCGGAGGCATTGAGAGAGATGACTCTCCGCTAAAGACGTCCCATCGTCAGTCAGGTTTCTTGGAGGCTTGAACGGGAAAGCTGCACGCGATAGAGCATTGATAGTTCGTGGTTGGTAGAGGAACATACAAACATAGCCATGATGGATAGTTGTATCCGGTAAATGGCGTTGACGATTCCAAAGAGGTCGTTCCTAGCGATTCACCGTCAACAACGAATAAGGAGGGGCAGATGTTGATATTGGTGATAGCTTCGATTTCTGCCCTGGCGCATTCGTTACACAAAGCCGGCGTCGGAGTTGCATCGCAAAAAAGAAATAAAAATTAAAAAAAATCGATAATGCGACAACTGTGATTGGCTAGAAATGGCTAAAAGAATTGCCCCTCCATATCCACTACTACAAGTACGTACCTGTTAGACCTGCGTTGCCCCCCCCTGTTCCGAATTTGACCAACTAGAGCTCGCCCCTTTGCGCTGTACGAACTACATAGTACACAAAGATTGTGTTCTACGTATACAATGATTGTGAGGTAGTAAACTAATGATTGTAATATAAAATAGTCATTGTGAGACTTGACAATCATTGTTTAAACCCATATACTCCTGCAGCGATAAAGAGGAGAAAGCTTTTCTTTCTTTTTCTAGTGGAAATCCTTATTTATATGTGTATGTGTAAGTCTGCTTGTGGCTTTTGCTGATTGTGAACCCGTAAACTACTCGACTTACTCACACTTATACTTACCCGGAATAGTCTTCCCAGTGAAGCGTGGTAAGTTTAGGAAACATGATTTCTTTACCTACTCATAGCGAGTTGCTTTCTGAAGCAAAAAAGGATATGGATCTATTTCTTAAACACTATATTAACATAACGCAGACGCGTAGATGGACCGATACAGAGGGAAATTACGACGATGACGATGGCGATGACAATGGTGATGAAAATGAAAGTGACGATGAAGACATGACCTATCTTGAACAACGATCCCTCAAGGGTGATCCACCAACGGTTGATCAGCTAGGTCAATCGCTATGTCTCTTCGAACCCGAAGCAGCATTGCGATTTCTAAATCGTAGCGAGATACAGTCGGCCTTTCAAAGGACTTATCTGGAACCGGTACTGCTAAAGGGCGACTTTGACAGCCTACCGATCGACATGGTGCCCGTGCTCCTGGTGTTCGATAGTATGCATGAGGCGTCGCGACCACATGAATACCTCCAGTCGGAGATCGCCATGGACCCAAAGGGAAGTGATGTCCACGTTGTAGAATTTATCATCGAAGTTGTTCTCTTTATTATGAGCGACGAATGCCAGGAGGAGTTTGGGTGGGAGATAATCGATCCTCTGATTCTTGCTACAAGAGACCTCGTCTACATCGCCGCTATGATGATAGATTTGCTTGCCAGACAAGCTCTAGGAGTTGATCTGGATCTAGAACTGTACGACGGCGGTACCCGCGCCCCTGTTGGTACCCCTATTCATTTATGGTAGACGTCGTGAGAAGCCTGTCAAATTTAGATAGTTGAATTGAAGGGATCTGTTAGTTTAGCTGGTTAATACATACATATTATTGAAAGAATACTATAATTGGTATCGTTAGAACATGTCTGTTTGTCTTGACCACTAGAATATAATTTCCATTTGATATGTGCACCAAGTAGAAATAAAAAGTTGATATATGATTGATGTCTTTAATACGTATAAGTCAGGACAGTATGAGTAATAGCGAGGGACAGTGCACACAACACATAGGTAACCTAACCTAGGTATGTACATACCTAAGGTATGGCATCCTAGGGTTACAACATACCCTCCTCAACCTATCATAGCACATCATCATCGCACAAACTATTATATATTGCCAAAACTGACTATCTTTCACCACAAGACGCCCGGTTAGCTCAATCGGTAGAGCGTGAGACTCTTAATCTCAAGGTTGCGGGTATGTAATCCTCATCACTCGAGGTTATTCACGCAATCAATGCTAACATTAACTTCAAGGTTCGACCCCCGCATCGGGCTCAATTCCTGATGCTTCCCAGTTTACTGGGACAAGCAACCCCTCATTTTTTTTTGTCTTCATTACGGCTTCCATTTCTCCCCCCAAAATAACTAGCTTATCTAACATGTTCGACCCTCGTATTAGGTTTGACTTTATCTTTTTGCGACTTCAGTTTTTATTCGATTTGACTACGTCATTTTCTTTTTTTCTTTCTTTTTCAGTAGGACCCTGCGTCGTGCTCGATTCCTCACATATCAAATCACTCCAACACGTTTCTCTAGATGCAACTCGGAATAAATTTATTCTCAATAGTCGTATTTTCCACCGGAGTTCTTTAATTTCGTTCGGTTCTTAGTCAACTTCTCTTCTATACCCAGGCAGTCTACTTATACGTCGATGGAACGTATCGTTCATAACATCTTTGTATTTTGAAATGATTGATGTATGTCGAATACGATAGCATACAACATGACAGCGAATAGACTCCATCGGCAGTTACATTTAGCTGGGCTTATCATGACCTGCCGTTGCAACTTCTAATATTTCCTTCTCAAATCCAGAGACGTGTACGAATCCGATGTTGGCATCCTCTAACTTCCGCTTGCTAGAATTATCGCTAACGAACTTTTCTGGTTCATGAACTCCAACATAAACAGTCTTGATCTTATTCCCTATGGCTAATATCCTATCCACACACGGTAGGTTTCCGCTGAGCCTTTGGGAGCATGGCTCTACTGTGGTGTAAAGTGCGACTTGGTTCGGGAGGACTTCACCTATGCGGCTTGCTGCAATATCGTACTTTTCTGCAAGCTTCTCAAAGCAGCATTGCTCAGCGTGAGTATTACCGGGAAGCTCGAGTGTATACCCCGTTGCCAAGATCTCGTTCGTAGTTATGTCCACGACCACCGCTCCGACTCGATAGTTGGTGGGTTTTGGCGGGGATTTGGTAGCAAGAGATAGCGCAAATTTCATATACGCCTGATGGTCTTCCGCCTTTATATCACTCGCCTGCTGAGGAACGCTTCCAGCCATTTTCCAGATGAACCAGTGAAACAGGCAACAAAATGATAAATTTGATAATAGAGATGTACAATATTATGAGGTACACTGTTCTATGCAGGTACCTACCTCTATGCAGGTACCCCGCTACATAAATTATGTAATTGACGTATCCTTATCGATAAATCGCGTAAAGAGGAAACGCGTGTAACGCGATCCCCCGACTTTGTCAACTTCTAGCATCCAACTTAAAGGTACTAAAACAAATCTCGCCGCTCACAGCTTCGTACTCTATCCGACAATTCTTGCCCATCATGGATGACTCGGACGACCTCCTCGCCGGTGAACCGCCTACCATCGATCCGTATGAGGTCCTTGGCTTAGAGCGTACGGCAGATGAGGGCCAGATCAAATCTGCCTATCGAAAGCTCGCTCTAAAAAATCATCCAGGTAAGCTATCTAATTAATCAAGAATGCTTGGATTGTATGTATTCTTACGTGTGGTATTTCTTTGTAGATAAGGTTCCCGACGATCAGAAACAGAAAGCCCACGAGGCCTTTCAGTCTATAGCCTTTGCATATGCAGTTCTATCCGATCCGGCGAGGCGCAAACGCTACGACGAGACAGGCTCGACATCCGAGTCCATTGTCGACTCGGATGGCTTCAGCTGGTCAGACTTCTACCGAGAGCAGTACCGCGACACAGTCACTGCTGATGCGATCGAAAAATTCGCGAAACAGTACAAGGGCTCCGATGAAGAGAAGGACGACATCTTGATCGCATATGAAGAATACAAAGGCAACATGGACAAGGTCTACGAGTCAGTCATGCTCAGTGATGTACTCGAAGACGACGAACGATTCCGCGCGATCATAGACGAGGCCATCGCTAATAAGGACGTCCCTGCGTTCAAAGCTTACACGAAGGAGAGCAAAAGATCCAAGGAAGCCCGAGTCAAGGCCGCGAACAAGGAAAGCGTCGAGGCCGAGGAATACGCCAAGGAATTAGGGGTGCATGATAAGTTATTTGGCAAGAAAGATAATAAAGACGGCAAGAGTAAAAGCAAGAAGGGATCGTCCGAAGATGACCTAGCAGCACTTATTCGCCGTAACCAGCAGGGTCGGAGCAACTTTCTTGACAATCTAGCGGCCAAGTATGGCGCAGCACCGAGCGCTAAGAAGGGTAAGAAGCGTGCTAGTCCGGAGGAAGAGCCTTCTGAGGAAGCTTTCCAGGCTGCGGCAGCGAGGTTGAGGAAGAAGAGCAAGAAGTAGGATCGAGCCTGGATTTTGTTTACGGCGCATATGGTATTCAGGCAAGTAGGGGAATCAGTTATCAAGGCAAGCATGCGATAGGTTGGGAATTGTGAACCTGCTAGGGATTAACTGCTAGTTACATCAAACATAAACTTCATAAAATTCATAAAGTAATTCAAACATCTTGGTGTTCAATGCATCATTTCGCGATGTGTTAGCCAGGTGTAATCGTACATACAGTACATGAGGTATGTTATGTAAGGTAGGTACATATATAGTCACAACCGGTCAACTATGACGTATGTACCTTTCAGGAGGTACCTACCCCTAACCGAGGTGAGTGGGGCACATGTACCTTAAGTGCTTACATGTACTTAAGGTACCTAAAGCTTCCGCGTCAGTCGCGTCATCATATTCAATCGTCCTCTTTCAATATTTTAAGACATAACACGCTAGTCTCGTCAGTATTTTGCTTTTCAGTAGTTGATTCCGTCTATCAAAATGCCATGACAAGTGCAGAACCACTGACCTTCTATCCTGCGTATTGCTTCCATCTGTCCCCGACGATAAATACATGGTGTCCTCTACGCGCTGCTGACATCCATGGTCTTGAAGGTCGACCTGGATTTGAAGGTATATGTTTTTGAACCTAGCAGATGAGCTACCAAACTTGTGACCCGAGGCTTACCGTGTCGAAGGTGACAATGTATTCTTCTCCTTAAACCACCCCATCCGTTGGGTCCGGATAGTCGGTGTTGTGGTTGCAATAGACGAATATTATAGCCACCGAAACTACACTGTTGATGATAGCACTGGCGCGTGTATCGAATGTAGCATAAATATCCCGAAGCCGGTTGATAGCCGATATCGGAACGACGCAGAGGACCCGGCCCCCGATCCATACCCGGAAATTGACGTCGGCATGGTCGTCGAAGTTAAGGGTAGTACGAATGTCTTCAGAGAACAGAAGCAGATTAAGGTGCAGAAACTACAGAGGGTCAGATCCACAAATCAAGAGGTCCAATTCTGGGACAAGATTCGTAATTTTCGCAAGGACGTTTTGAGTAAACCCTGGGTATTGGAAAAGAGAGAGGTTCGACGATGTAAGAAACAGTATATGGCTGATGTGGACTCCAAGGAGAGGAAGAAGAAAAGAAGAAAAGAGGACGGGCTTGTCATTGACAAGCATAAACTGGATCCGGTGCTTAAGGACAATAGCAAGGAGGCGGCAGGTAAATCTATGAAGGAAGAGTCTCCAATCATGCTAGGAGCCCAAAGTCCCCATGCCAAAGACCAGTACAGTGCATTAGGGCTGTGAATCTACTCATTTATATTTACCCCCTTTTCCCCGTATTATTACGTGACAGGTAGATTTATATCTCAGATGACCTTAGTAGAGGTCAATACAAGTGAATGGGATTATTCCTTTCTTATATTTAACCCAAGTACGACTTTCGAGACACCCTATGAATCTTAACCAGATATACTACACCTTTTCAATACTCAAAATAACCTAATATTAAACCAATGTTGAAGTTATAGTTCTTGTAGGTTAGTATTTTAAATATTTACATAATGTAATAACTATTAAAGTGGGTCGATTGAATTTAAGATATGAGGCGGAATCCGCAACTCAGTCGTTTCTTCTTCCAGTAAGTACCTAGTTACAGTACCTACCTAGGTATACTCAACTCTAAATCTTGTGGGAATACGTTCTTTCTAACTATACGAAACTTCTGTTTAAAATATGGAATGAGCAAACAAATGGGGTAGTTACGAAGCTGTCATTAATGATTGTGTCTTATGTCGTTGAAGTCCACAAGCTTAAACTTCAACTGTCCAACACATTCACTACGAGTATTCTTCATAGCTTCATCTCTTCTCGTTACGACAAATCCTAAAGACCTAGAACCACTATCGAAGCCGAACAATACGTTTTACCTTTTATATTCCAATATTGATTTCAGTATTCCTACATCGCATACCTTTTTAGCTCACCTCGCTATTCACTCGTGGTATCTCGCTGCCGTTGATTCACATTCCAGTGACTCTTCTAGACTCATTCGCTTGCTCAAGCTTGTCACTTAGGTAGGACCCCCCAGCTCCTATTTAAGACAACTCATTCCTCTCCTCGTGAACTTCTCTCCACACCACCTAACATTGGCGACCCTGAGTCAACCGTCGCCTAGACACCATCATCATTCTTGGACATCTTTGCTCCAGTCACACACCATGTCACCCATCAACACCTTCAACCCGCCCACTACTTATGGGCATGGGTATCGAACTTCAGATCTTAAACTCCAACACCATCTTTTCAATTATATCTATACGAATATGTCCGTTTGCTATACTACTATCCGTGAAGTTATCATCAAATCATATCATTCCGAGTTGAGCTCTGGTAGCTCCGATGAGGCTTCGATAGCCCACAAGATATATCACTAAGGATTTCCCCCTTGATCCCCGTTTCCTGAAACGCTATGCTGTTACTCTATTGGATACTGACATTGGCTCAGGTCTACCCTGTCCTAACAACCCAACTTTGGACCCCAAACATCAAGGTCAAGTCACATCATAAAGGTAGGCCCACCAAAAGAGACTCTTTTCGAGAGAAGTATTCTCCCCTTCCGAAAAGTCAAGATATCTATCACGAGGGTTATCAACCTATTGCAGTAACAGTTAATTCTACATCCTCGACTGCCTCAGAGTTCTATCCGTCATCTAGTTGTGGATCCAATACAACTACATCACTCGAAACTAGCACGGCACCAAGTCCAACTACGCCTTTGCCATCTGCGTCGGACGAGAACCCGTCAGCTACTTCCGCAATGTCTCCAGCAGCTACATCGTCAAACATCTTTGGGGCGCCAATTGCAACTAGCGCCCCTGCATCGTCTTTTCCCGTCCAGAAGGAGCATCCAGTATCTCGAAAAGGGATCAACAATAAATCTGCACCAATAGGTACGAATAAATTCTATGCCAATTTCTTTCTCGGTAACCAGACATCACCCACATTCGTGCACCCATATTCAGTTGTTTGGGCGCATGGTCAGGGAGCATCGTCCAGCTGGGGGTTGGCAATCTCACATATTGAGGCACACCAGATGGTGTACGGCAAACCATCGAAAGAAACAGGTGCCGCGCAATACTTCTTGAGCCCCGTTGGAATTCAGTCGTTATGTCTCTCGGCGTTGGAACTGGGTCCAAAGACTAGTTTGACAACCGATAATCTGACTGCACACTCGGTCAACGTCAACTTACACAGTGATCCCAAAGCAAAGCCCCTTGTCACATTCCCCTTGGTACAAGGTATGGGGTTTGTTACAGCTATCTATCAAGGGGGGACTCCGCTTATTAATACTGGTATTTACTTCAAGACGGTCACGAAATCAATCAAGGGGCCTAAACCAGGCGTGACCAAGTACACGCTATATCTGGAGGACGGAAAAGTATGGCACGTATACGCCTACTCGGAGAAGGGAGATACTTTTGACCTCACCGTCGTCAACAATGGAAAAGCCAAGGCTGAGAAGCCGTTCAACGGCATCATTCAAGTTGCTAAAGATCCTGGCGACGCCGAGACCGTAATAGACGCCGCATCTGGTGCATACCCCGTCAATGTGACGCTTTCCGGCTCAGTATCTGGATCGATGGGCACATACACGTTCACTTTCGGGAAAGCGGGAATTTCAGATGTTAAACTACTAATTTACGCTCTGCCTCACCATGTCGACTCCTTCGACGATGCGACCCATAAAAGTATCACGACGGCGAAGCTACAAACCACAACCAAGGGAGTAGGCGTGGGCGTGGTTGCGGATTCATGGACAATGGTTGAACCTAATAT